TGACTTGTGATTTCGTGCTAGCACAACTATTGACGAAGAATTCCATCCAACCAATTTCACTCACAAGGGTTGGGTCAAATCGTTGTTGCATTTTCAGACATTTTCCATAGGTGTCGCACACTGGGATCGCTTCCCCAGACCAATAACGTGAAGAAGTTACCTTGTTAAACACCTAGAGTTTATGAATTTAAGTGCGGTGACTAGATTAGCAATAAGGTCTCATTAATTTGCAGTTGAATTAGCTAAATGTAACCGTAGCTTCTATGCTGATATCTTCTTTGCTCGCGCTCCTCGTTTGCGGAACACTCTTCCGGTTGCATGCTCTCCAGCCAACTTTGATCTTCAAAATTTTAAATGAAATGTCAGTCGTTGTTCTCGCTCCTTAATAATGTTTCTGTTTCTTCATAATTTTTCACATCTCCTGTTTTAGTGACCTCGGTTAATACATACATACATATATATATATATATATATATATATATATATATATATATATATATGGGTTAAAGATTAAACGCAGATCAAATATGGATCGGAATCCGGTAGAATGAAAAAATAAAGAACAAATAGGAAATGTATATAAATCTATGACAAAGCTTTTAATAAATGTGAGTCATGTGAGATTGATATACGTTTCCTATTTGTTCCTTTACTTATCATATATATATATATATATATATATATATATATATATATATATATATTATTTAAAATATGATTCCAAATCGCGACATAAGAAGTCCCATGTTTTAAAACAAGAGCCGAAAACTTCAATATAATTATTTAAATTAAATTGAGTTAAAATAAGCTCTGTTCCATCTTCAAGCGAAATTTTTTTGGGAATAACGTGTTTCTGAAATTTACGTGTTTTAAAAATTTAAATCAAAATTTCCATGGTAACAGCTAGGGCGAATTGTTTAAGTTGGGTAGGCGGGTGTTGGGTGTTAATAATAAGTATCAGTATAGAGTTACATTTGTAGATGTCAAGTCAGGGAAAGGTGGGGGTGTCAATTTCTCATGGAGGCATAAAGGGCATGGGTCATCCCAAGTTTTACATGTTCTAGCCTTGTTAATAACCTTGTTAAATGGAAAATTATAAATATAAATTATATTGAAGTTTTCGGCTCTTGTTTTGAAACATGGGGACTTCTTATGTCGCGATTTGGAATCATATTTTTAAATAAATAATTATATTTATGCTCTACTTTTGTATCGAGCACTATTTTTTAAAAATAATAACTAAAATACTAAGGAACTTTGGATTATTTACCTAACCAGTTCCTTCCTATTTTCTATATATTTTCACCCACCCACACACACACACACACACACACACACACACACACACACACACACACATATATATATATATATATATATATATATATATATATATATATGATCGAATTTATCGCACATTTCAATCGTTATGATATGTAAAATATTATTCACAACACCAAGAGTATATTTGTTCTTCAGTAAATATGAATGGCAAGGAACGGACCCACTCTTAATTTGATATATAAGTTTATATATATATATATATATATATATATATATCTGTGTGCGTGTGCGCGCTCGCGCGTGTGTGTGCGTGTGTGCGTGTGTGTGTGTGTGTTATATGCCGTACCTATGAACACTAATGGGTATGTCCCAATCCTCATAAATACGTTGGACACTTATAAGTGGGGGTAATATACTGTAATTTACATACTTCACACCGCTGGCGAGTTTTGTATTTTGTTGATGTCATAAAGATTACATTTCATTTCCAACCTCCGTTTTTGCTTATTCGTCATTCAGTAACCTTTTCTCGGTTACAACATATATATATATATATATCGCAACATCATGTTTTGTTTTGGTCAATAAAACTACCACCTGCCTTAATTGCTGCTTTACAAATTCTTGACATTCTTTCCAACAGCTTTTGAAAAAAAGTAGATGGCGGACCTTCCCAAGCATTCTTTACGCACTGAAAAAGCTTACTCCCACTCTTTGGGTATTCTCTTCTAACTCTCCTATCCAATCCCCCCCCTTACTAATTCAGTAGAGAGAGGTCAAGAGATTTGAGGCGGCGAAATCAATTTCCAAATTCTTGTTTCTTTTCTTTGACTTGAGGTTATTTTGACATAATTTAGAAGAGTCTTTTGTATTGTTGTCTTATTTTAAGATGATATTTTCCAATTATACGCAAACCAGATGGTATAGGATATATTTGCAAAACAAAATGATATCGTTCGTTTTTCATAATCCTCTCAACCTAAATCAAATCTCCAGTCCTCTCTTCCTCTAAACATCCCACACCATAAAAGAGCCATCACCATGCTTAACTATAGGAACCACACATTCATAATTCAGTTTCTCTTGGCTTTCTTCTCGCATATATTCTCCTCTTACTACCAAAAAGTTCAAATATGGACTCGTCTGTCTACAATACTTTGCCACTCTTTCAATGTCCATTGCAGTCTTTTCTCCTTATTCGTCTTCCAAAAGAGATATTTTATGGGTATGAACCCCTGAACCCCGCAGTTGTCAGTGATACTGGTTGTAGTCGCGAGTAATTAAATTTAGCTGTCAACTCTGGAGCAGTTTACATTCCTATTTCTTTTGCGCTCAGTAATGAAGTGTTTATCTTCAGATGTTGTCACATTTGGTGCTGCTGCTCTTATTCTGCGTATATTTCCACCAGTTTATAACTGCCTTTGTAATGAATATTGCACCCCATGTCTAGAAATCTTCAACTTCTTGGCAATTTGACTTTGAAAGTAGCCTTCCTTGAATAAAATATGGTGACTCACCATATAGTTCATACTTTTGATGTGTAACTTTTCTAAGACGCATTGAATGCCATCCGGAGAATTCTTGCGTAACACGCAGCTAAGTGTTTCTTCAGAGATTTAGCCATAGTCCACGTCTGTGATCCACGGGGCAAGACAGATCCTCCACGTCTATAGTCTACGGGGCAAGACAGATTCTCCATGTCTATGATCCACGGGGAAAAACAGATCCTCCACGTCTATAGTCAACGGGGCAAGACAGATTCTCCATGTCTATGATCCACGGAGCAAGACAGATCCTCCACGTCTATAGTCAACGGGGCAAGACAGATTCTCCATGTCTATGATCCACGGGGAAAAACAGATCCTCCACGTCTATAGTCAACGGGGCAAGACAGATTCTTCATGTCTATGATCCACGGGGAAAAACAGATCCTCAAGACAGATTCTCCATGTCTATGATCCACGGAGCAAGACAGATCCAGATTCTCCATGGGATCCACGGGGAAAAACAGATCCTCCACGTCTATAGTCAACGGGGCAAGACAGATTCTCCATATATGATCCACGGGGAAAAAACAGATCCTCCACGTCTATAGTCAACGGGCAAGACAGATTCTCCATGTCTATGATCCACAGAGCAAGAAAACAGATCCTCCACGTCTATGATCAACGGGGCAAAACAGATCCTTCTATCAACGGGGCAAGACAGATGTCATGTCTATGATCCACGGGGAAAAACAGATCCTCCACGTCTATAGTCTACGGGCAAGACAGATTCTCCATGTCTATGATCCACGGAGCAAGACAGATCCTCCACGTCTATAGTCAACGGGCAAGACAGATTCTCCATGTCTATGATCCACGGGGAAAACAGATCCTCCACGTCTATAGTCAACGGGGCAAGACAGATTCTCCATGTCTATGATCCACGGGGAAAAACAGACGTCTATACAAGACAGATTCTCCATGTCTATGAACGGAGCAAGACAGATCCTCCACGTCTATAGTCAACGGGGCAAGACAGATTCTCCATATCTATGATCGGGGAAAAACAGATCCACGTCTATAGTCAACGGGGCAAGACAGATCCACTATGATTCACGGAGCAAGACAGATCCTCCACGTCTATAGTCAACGGGGCAAGACAGATTCTCCAATGATCCACGGGGAAAAACAGATCCTCCACGTCTATAGTCAACGGGGCAAGACCATGTCTATGATCCACAGAGCAAGACAGATCCTCCACGTCTATAGTCAACGGGGCAAGACAGATTCTCCATGTCTATGATCCACGGGGAAAACAGATCCTCCACGTCTATAGTCAACGGGCAAGACAGATTCTTCATGTCTATGATCCACGGGGAAAAACAGATCCTCCACGTCTATAGTCACGGGCAAGACAGATTCTCCATGTCATGATCCACGGAGCAAGACAGTCCTCCACGTCTATAGTCAACGGGGCAAGACAGATTCTCCATGTCTATGATCCATGGGGAAAAACAGATCGTCTATAGTCAACGGGCAAGACAGGTCTATGATCCACGGGGAAAAACAGATCCTCCACGTCTATAGTCAACGGGGCAAGACAGATTCTCCATGTCTATGATCCACGGGGAAAAACAGATGATCAACGGGGCAAAAACAGATGATTCACGGAGCAAGACAGATCCTCCACGTCTATAGTCAACGGGCAAGACAGATTCTCCATGTATGATCCACGGGAAAAAACAGATCCTCCACGTCTATAGTCAACGGGCAAGACAGATTCTCCATGTCTATGATCCACGGGGAAAAACAGATCCTCCACGTCTATAGTCAACGGGGCAAGACAGATTCTCCATGTCTATGATCCAAGGGGCAAAACAGATTCTCCACACCTGGGATCTACGGGGCAAAACAGATTCACCTGTTGCAACAAATAACCGAAATTTTAAACCTCAGGGTAGTTGGGAGCATTTTAACGAGGCCATTTCATGTTATTTCATCAAAGATAAATACAGTTATGTGTCATGCGTAATATACGCTTAGGCGATCATTTATCTTTTGATACATGACTGACGAGGCAGTTTTTCCCCGCAGTAGGTTGCCATTTCTTTCTGCGGTAGACCAGTTGCCATCCAAGTCTATAGAACTCGGTCTGTGCTGCTATTTAACCATAGCTGGAGGGAGAAGACGGGGGTTCATACCTTTCCCAAGGGTATTAGCACATAAGTGAACGTAATGGATTAAATAGATAGATAGATAGATAGATAGATAGATAGATAGATAGATAGATAGATAGATATCAGTAGACTGTGATAGATAGAGAGATAGATAGACGTGAACAGACTGAAATAGATAAATAGATGTAAACAGTTCGAGATAGAGAGATCAGTTATGTACCTTGCGTGATACACACTTAGCTGATTATGTATCTTTCGATACATGACTGACGAGGCAGATTGTCTTCCAGCAGTAGGTTGCCATTTCTTTCTGCAGTAGACCAGTTGCCATCAAAGGCTATAGAACCCGGTCTGTCCTGCTATTTACCCATAGCTGGGGGAGAAGACGAGGAATCATACCTTTCCCAAAGGTATTAGCACGTGAGTGAGTGTAATTCGAATTCAACCCTCCGATTCCTCAATCCCAGCCACTATCCATCACTCCACCTGCCTCTTCCAAAGATAAATATAAAACTCTATTATTTTCAGCGATTGCATCTAAAATGTGTGTATATGCGTGTACTTTTGTCCGTGTACTTGGTTTTTGCGTGTGTGTCGCTAAGACCGCACACTTATGGAAATAAATCAACTATCCATTTTAAAACAACAAATTATTTTTTTCAACACAATATTCTACCTTGATAATGTCCCCCCCCAACAATGGCCTCTTCAGCAAACGTATAAATTTTAGTAGAGTATCAGATAAAAATGATACCATAGACCGAATATGTGTGAAAAGACGAGGTTTTAGAGAAAATGGAAACAAAAAGGAAAGATACTTAACATCAGGAAGAGACAGTTGATATTTCTGAAGCACATAATGAGGAAGGAGGGCTTAGAAAATCTGATACTCACAGGACCGATTGAGGGCAAGGGGGATAGAGGAAAACAGCGAATAACATACTTGATGAGATGAAGTAAGTGGATGGTAGAATAGGGTTTTGGCGAATAGCAAAAAAAAAAAAAAACAGTACAAGGGAGGAGAAGATATGGAGAACCAAGATCGCTTACGTCTTGAGGGGAAACTGCACATAAAGAAGAAGGTATGATCTTATTTGAGATATACAGTCTAGGCAAGTGGTGATCTAACAGCCAAAGCCTTTTCAGACGTTTGTGTCAAAGAACTTCTAACCACAGCTTAAAAGAAAAATAGAAAAAAAGCATGAGCACGTGACAAGATTTGACAGGCTTTCCAAGACTTCACTGTTGACCCACATATAGTTATAATTCATGATTGATCGATTTGTTTGTTTAACGGTACATCAACTCCTTATGGATCATTTAATGGCGAAATTTATTTTTATTGGAGTTTTAAAATAATAAAAATATGATATATGTTATTCTGCTTTCACACTTGAATACATGGCAGATGATACTCAGCTTTTGTACATACATATATTTCTGTAGTCATAATTGCTAGACCGCGTGATATGTTTTTTTTTGTTGTGTTGTAGTTTTGTTGAAGTTATATTTTTACATGCAGTTTGATTTTTTAAAGAAATTGTAGGATATAAATAAATCTCCATAGACGCTTAACCAGACTAGACGATGTCATCTTCCGCTTTAAATTTAGACACCCCAACCTTACCCTGATTTGACATCTGTGAATGTAACTTTATACTGATACAAATTATTAACACCTTACGCCCCCTTTTTCTTTAAACAATTGCTCTAGCCGTTACCATAGAAATTTTGATTTCAATAATGAATATTCTTATAAAACGCGTAAACCTCAGAAATAAGTTATTCCCCCCAAAAAATTCGCTTGAAGATGGAACAGAGCTTAGTACTTTAATTCAACTTAATTCAAATAATTATATTGAAGTTTTCGGCTCTTGTTTTGAAACATGAAAACTCTTATGTAGCGTGTTGGAATCATATTTTTAAATAAATAATTATATTTATGTTCTACTTTTGTATCGAGCACTATTTTTTAAAAAATAATAAAAAAATACTAAAAGAACTTTGGATTATTTACCTAACGAGTTCCTATTTTCCTATATTTTTATATTTTCATATATATATATATATATATATATATATATATATATATATATATATATATATATATATATATATATATATATATGTGTGTGTGTGTGTGTGTGTACATATATATATAGGGTTAGGTAAATGAAATAACTAGATATTAGCGACCGTATACGCGCGTGTTGGCGTGCATATGTTGGTAAGCAAATAAATAGTTACCAAATTTATCCAAGAGGTGTAGACATAATCGTGCTCAATGTGATTAGACAGAACTAAGAAATATATATTAATAAATACATTATATACCTACATTTGGTGTGACTAAAGTTTTGTTGTTTACCCAACTTGTATATATCTATATCTTGTGCCCGACGAGTTGGGTAACCAATGAACCTGTAGTCGCACACCAAACGTAGGCATGTGTGTATTTATTAGTGGGGATGAAACATGGGATCAGCCAGAATGGTAAGAAAAAGAATAATGATCGTCTACATCCTGAGGAGTTGACAGCACATAAAGAAGAATAAATATTTAAAGGTACGACATATTTGTGATATATTGTCTAGGCAAATGTTTTTCTTACAGCCAAATCTTTTTCAGAACTTTGTGTCAAAGAACCTTTAAACACAGCTTAAAAAACACATAGAAAGAAAGCATAACCACGTGACAAGATTTGACAGGCTTTCCAAGACTTTACTATCGACCCACATATAGCTATAATTTATGATTGATCGATTTGTTTGTTTAACGGCATATCAACTCCTTCATGGGTCATTTAATGGCGAAATTTAATTTTCTTGGGAAGCTGAGAATAATAAAAGTATGATATATGTTATTCTGCTTTCACAATGGCTAAAATCAGCAATTTTTAACGATTAAAAAAACCCTTCCAGTCAATTTAAATTAGTTTTGAAATACAGCAAAGTATTTTGCTTATTAGAAATATTAAATTTAATCTATTAGCTTGAAATTAAAACTAAAATAAAAGCTTCACGAAAGATCTTTCATTTTAAAACTTAGGAATGGCGTTTCTTTGGAAGTACCTAGATTTAATTGTAATACAGATATTTTTTAATACGCGTGATGGTTTTTGTACGAATAACGAGTGGGTGCTGACTTCACACTGCATTTATCTTTCGACGTTCAAAATAACAGCTTAAAAAATAATCAAAGGCTGGCTTCACGTTTATTCTATATTAGATATTTCATTCATTAATTCTCTTTTTCTTTGATTTTTATTGTCTTTCCTGTTTGTTTGTTTTTAATTTGCATCTTGACTCATTTTTAATACTTCCTTATCGCTTAACACTGCTAATAAAAAAAACTTCCTGCTATTCTATAACATACCATCTTCCTTGGGTGGGAGATATGGGTCAGTTTATCAGATTGGTAATATTGTTGAACAATTGAAACCATTGTCTGCGTTTAACTCATATACTACCGTCGTCAGTTTAAATTGATGCTTTCTTTTATCTTTATATCTAAAGTGTAACTATAGTCATGCACTTGAAAAGGCCTCTTCTCCACTCCAAGTTAAGGCTCAGTAACAGAGCAGACAGGGCTCTTTATCCTTGGTTGGCAACCAGTCTAGAAGAACAACAAATCTGAATTCAAAAACTCCTAATGTCTCTGGTTGAACTCTGAAATTAAATCTTGACCTCTTCAAGTCTAGAATTAATTGCCTATCTTTCCTGTTATATTCCCCTTTCTTCCGCTAATACAACATAATTACAAACAGTAGCACTCTAACTTGAGTGGCCTTGGGCCTTGTATTAATAGAATTAAAAAATCGGTTGGACGTGAGGCTAGCTACTCTACCCTGTACAAAACTACTTGCGACAGAAACGACAGCAACAACGCTTACACTATGGCCCTACACCCTACGGCGGGGTAAAGCTGTAATATTTGTTGCAGGTTTGGTGTTTCGGTATAAAAAAGAAAGACATTCAACCGACAGTTGTTTATTCCAAGTTCACATGTTCAAAAGTCTGTACAATGTTCACGTCTCGCGGTGAACTCTCGTTTTTTTTTCACGCCATATCAGACTCTTCTGTATCAAGAAGCGTAATTCTGCGCACATAATACACTACTTCCTCGATCACTAACCTGTTCAAGTCTAGATTTAACCGTTATATTCCACAAATATCCGCATAAGCTGTGCCTTTTACTCTGTAATTCTCTACCTCGAGTGGCCCTCGGGGCTTGTATAGGATGAACATCACTGTAAAAAAAACCCCCAAAAAACAAAAGTATTAGGTATTGAACTCACAAGTCTTTGGGTCAACTCAACAACTCAATTTTGGATTACTCAACTAACGCTGGACACGAAGAGTTGCGGGTTCAATACCTGGCCACAGCAGAGGGAACAAAAACCTGGCGAGTGGAATTAGTTGGGGAATTAACTAAAACGGAGATATCCCAAAAAAGGCATGGCACGTGGAATTAGAACAATCTACCCCCGTAGACCAAATAAAGGGTTCAGGTCGAAATTCCAATGTATATTAGCTGAAGAAGGTCAGAGCGTACAACGACCGAAACGTCGTGAATATGACAATAAAGATGAGGAAAATAGTAAATAGTGTAAATAGTTACAAAACGGCATCTCAGAAATATAGGTTACTGTTTGTTTTCCCTTGCTTCTCTTACCTCGATAATGTCCTGGGCGTGTTAAATTTTCTTGGCCCTCTTTCCTCATTATGTGACCCAGAAATTTCAGATGTCTCGCTGTGATTGTAAGTATATATTTCCTTTTTGTTTCTATTTGTCTTCCGCGTTGTTCATATATTCTGTCAATGGTAATTTCTGCATCACATCTTTGTTGCTTGAAGGTTTTTGGTTTTTTTACTATGAGGAGATTGTTCAGTATTCACTGACATGTCGGAGCTAAGATATTTCATAGTTCCGCATTTTGCTTTTAGGCCCTAGACATCTCCAAAGCATTTGATAGGGTTTGGCATGCCGGCCTTCTTCGCAAGCTCCAGGGTTATGGCATTACGGGTCGATTGTTTGACCTAATACAATCATTCCTGTCAAACCGTGAATTGACGGACGTTCTCAACGGATTCTCCTCCAGTTCCTATCCTACGAACGCAGGTGTTCCTCAAGGCTCCATCCTAGGCCCCACTCTATTCCTTATCT